ATGATATTTAACATACAATTTCCAATACGTATACGTGTATGTATTATTCGTATACTTGCGTACACGGAATTCTTTTCGCTTATTTATTTGTTTTATATTTATATTTAATATCTGTATAATTGAAAGACTGTATTGTATTTATATATATGTACTTTGTACGCATACGTAAGTACGTATTATACGCATAAAAAGTACATTGTCGTACATCTTCATTTGGCGTTTATTATAATTGTTACTGCGGAATGGTGTGAATACAAATTGTTATTAAGTAACGCGTGTGAAAGACTTTGGTTTCTCTTTGATAATATTTTTCAACGACATTTACTTTCACGTATCGACAACACAACTACAGAAATATTATGCAAAGAATGTTAATTAATTATATAGTTATATAATCTGTTATATTTGACACCTTTAAAGATCAGTTCTTTGTTCTTATGGAAGAGAAAATTGCCCTTCTTAAAACTAAACTCGTTAATGAAAAATACGACAAAAGTTTCACTTTCCATATGATTCTTATATGATAGAATAAACAAACTAGTTAACGAAAGTATTTTATATTTTCGTATCAATTTACAAAAAGAATATTACTTTTTTAATTCTTTTCGTTTAATTGCGCATTATTAGTACAGAATTATTATTGAATATTGTACAAGATTAATGAGTACGTTTGATAATGCGAATTGATAAACATGGCTATTAAAAAGATAAAATACAGACGGAGCAAGACTCTCACTGTATGAAATGTAACATTGAGATACTGTAAATTCATGTTCTTTCTTTTCACATGAAAAATATGTTCCACTTAATAAAGCACGAGGTATTTGTAACTTTATTTTGGTTCGCATTGAAATTACTAAAAAATTCTAATAAATTATTTTCAGTCTCGTAGAGCGTATGTTAGTTACACAAGATCAGTGACAAGAAAACAGAATTTATCATCCAGAATACAGCTTCCAAGTCACGCAGATGTTGTGATAATAGGTAAGTCTCTTCGATTCTCCAAATCTCTAAATTCTCTAGACATTTTATACCTTAATGTTGAAAATAACTTACGTGTTAATGCGTCAATAATTACTGTCAGGTGGAGGTAGTGCTGGTTGCAATGCGCTTTATCATTTGGGGAAACGTGGGATCAATGCTGTGCTATTGGACAAGTCAAAATTAACATCTGGTACTACGTGGCACACCTCGGGTCTTGCATGGAGTATACGAGGTCCAAGTGATGTTGAGATGGAATTATTAGGTGCTACAAAGTGCATCTTCAACTCTCTGGAAAAGGAAACTGGAATAAATCCAGGGTGGATAAATAATGGTGGAGTTTACGTTGCACGTTCCAGCGTAATAAACATTTCTTCTCTTCTCTTTCTAAAATTGTTCTTTTGATGTCTTCAATAATCGCTACTTTTATCGTTATAATTCTTGTTTCTATTGGTATCTAATGTCGTTTTTACGTATTACAGGAACGATTGAACGAATTTAGAAGATTGATCACTGGTTCCAAAATTTTTGGTATTCCAGCATATTTAATTTCTCCCCGAGAAACAAAAGAGTTGTTCCCTTTGTTGGATGAGAACATTATTCAAGGAGCAATTTATTCTCCAGAAGATGGTGCCATTGATCCGACCATGTTGATCAACGCTTTGACAAAATCAGCAAAAAGTAATGGTTGTCAGGTAAAAGTTACATAATTAAACTCTTCCTTTTTTTCTCTCTTCCTTTTACAGATAAGAATAAACCAAAAAAAATATGAAGCTATTAAAATTATGGTGTAGATTGTCGAAGACTGTCCTGTTACAAAGATACTCACAAAGGAAACTATCGGGAATAATAAAAAGGTTTATGGCGTAGAGACGCCATATGGAATTATAAAAACAGACGTTGTTCTCAATGCTGCCGGAGCTTGGTCAAAAAATGTAGCAAACATGATTAACGCGAATATTCCTCTAACACCGATGAAGCATGCTTACGTTGTTACAGAACCAATAAAAGGATTGGAAAATCTTCCAAATGTTAGAGATCCTGATGCGACTTTGTGCTTTCGAATTCAGGGTAGCACAATAGCTATAGGTGGTTATGAACAAAATCCTATTATACTCCCATCTGTAAGTTTGTCTTGACACGTAATTGACAGAGTTTTTAATTTGGGCAAAGAAACAAGTTTATCGATATTAATTTTAATTTTAACTTTGTTTGCATAAAAGGCTCCAGAGAACTTTTCATTTTGCCTCTATGAATTAGATTGGAACGTCTTCAACGCACATTTGGAATCCATGACTCGGTTGATTCCTCAACTATCGACAACTGGAATAAGAACTACAGTATATGGACCAGAAAGTTTCACTCCTGATCATAAACCAATTATGGGTATTTAAAAACATTGTTCTCTTTCTCTCTATAATGTAATATAATATTATACAATATTAGACAATCCTATTTCACGTTTAAAAGGTGAAGATCCATATTGTTGTGGATTCTTTTACTCTTGCGGTTATAATAGTGCCGGAATGATGTTAGGAGGTGGATGTGGAGAACAAATTGCGCATTGGATAATTCATGGGCAACCAGATAAATACATGTTCGACTACGACATCAGAAGGTTATTCTTCGCTAGAATATTTCGTTCTTTTTTTCTCTGTTTCAATTCTATCCAATTATATTAATATTACTTTTTGTATTTATCTGTTCATTCGTTTCACAGATTTTTACCAGAACAAAGAAACAATGTGGTTTGGATACGTGAAAGGTGTCACGAAGCCTATGCAAAAAATTACAGCATTGCATTTCCACATGATCAACCATTGAGTGGTAGAAATCTCAAATTGGATCCATTTCACAGTGTAAGATACATACTGTTCTTTATTTCACAATGTCAATATTTAGTGAACACACAACGAACAAATTGTCCTCACTCACTTGCTCATTTGTCGCAACAGTCACTTGTTGAGAAAGGTGCTGTTATGGAAGAATACCAAGGTTGGGAACGTCCTGCGTGGTTCTTTTCAACTAACAAAGTAAAAATTTTATCGTACGATTATGGTGGATATTACGGAGTAGCAAAAAATCAGAATGATAATTATCGTGCATTGTTAGAAAAGGAACGTGGTTTTCATTTCTCGCCATATGACGAAATAGTAAGCCAGTGATATGAAAATACATTTTAAAACAGAGAAAGACAAGTAGGAAAACAAGAGAAGCTATCAATAGTGAAATGATCTTTCATTAGATTCGAGAAGAAGCCCTTGCTTGTCGTCAAAATGTTGTTTCATTCGACACATCTCATCTTGGAAAATTCTATCTTCATGGACCTGACGCTCAAAATGCAGCAGATTATTTATTCACTGCAAGGACGGATTGCAACTTCGATAAGACGGTTTACTCTTGTATGTTGAATCATGCTGGAGGAGTAGAAGCAGATTGCACAGTTACAACGTTGGAGCCCGGTTCCAATGGAATTGTAAATCCAATATTTAAAGGAAAAGCCTATTATATCGGTAAAATAAACTTTACTTTAACTTTAAAATAAAATATTACTTTATGACGTTAATCAATAATTTATATCCTCATTAGATATTTTCATCGATTCATATAAAATCAATCTCTAACATTATTATTTTTTTAAAACTAATAATATTTATGTTTATAACTTTTTTAGACTTTTTCCTTGTATCTTTTCGTTAACGAGACATTTATTATTCAATTTATCATTACCCTTATCACTGTGATTAAATTTTTTTTATATTTATTAATAAGTATTATTTACTACCAGTAAATTCTCCAAAAACATTTTGTAGTAATTATTGAATTTATTAGATTAATTACCAACAAATTAACGTCACTACTGCGAATTATAAAAGGATAGCTTATTTTCCTGTTTAGTCTCAAATGGCACGTCAGTTTATCACATGAAGAAAGTAATTACAGAAAAGAGTTTTAACGTATCTTTGCACAATGCTACCGAGGAAATTGGAATTTTATCGGTGCAAGGACCCAACAGGTACAGTGTTACAGACATTTTTATCATTTAAATTTACATGCAGAGTAATGTAAATCAACTCGTAGCCGAAAAGTAATCGAAACATTGATCGAGGATGAAATCTCAGACGAATCCTTTCCTTACTCAACTACAAAATTGGTAAAGATTAAAAACGAAACGGTACGCTTAATTAGACTTAGTTCCGTTGGTGAACTGGGTTTCGAATTGCATATCCCAATATCATCTTGCCAATTAGTCTACAAAACATTAATAGATTGCGGTAAATCACATGGCATGAAACACGCCGGATATCGAACGCTATATAGTCTCAGTTGCGAGAAGGGTATGTGATCAATTCGAATCAGTTTACAAACGTGTATATACACATTATTAACACGATTATACTTTTTTCAGGATACCTTCTTTGGGGTTCAGATCTCAGAACAGATGATAATCCCATTGAAGCTGGGCTTGGATTTACTTGCCGTGAGACTGGCGAGTATCTGGGAAAAGCGGTTGTTGACCGATTGCGAAAGATCGGTATAAAAAGGAAACTGGTACACGTTCGTTTAAACAAGTATGTATTATGAAATATCATTGACAATTTTTACATTCGATTTCGACGAAATAATACTAATGAGCATATGCTTCGACGCAGTGCTGTTCCATTATGGGGTATGGAACTTATTTACAGAAACGGATGTCTCGTTGGTTATTTACGTCGTGTCGAGCAGGGTTACACCAATAGAAATGCTATTGGACATGGGTAAGGAAAGTGACATTGAAAATACGACGATAAAAAGAGTATAAAACTAATATTAGTTCATATCAGGTACATCAGACATCCTAATGGGGAAAACGTAACAAAGGAATTTGTAGAAAATGGCAATTATGAAATTGAAGCTATGGGCAAACGATACACGGTGGATCACTGTTACTGAAATATGTTTAATCTTCTTGATGAAATACCGTTCCAGGATACACGAATAAATACGATTTGCAAGTTTGAAAGATTTTAAAAAATTAAACTTCCTATTTACATCTACCCTGCTAATGGATTGGCATGTATAGTTACACTATTTATTCGAGTTTCTGTAAGAGGCCTGTAATTTTTAGGATTTATTGGCAATTTTTCCAACTGTTCAAGAGTTTCCAAACCATCTATTACCCTGAAAGCAACAAAAAATTCATTCATTAAACGAGTCAAATTCAACAGGTTTAAATATTAAAATAAATTGGAGAACAAGCATATTTACTTTCCAAATAAAGTGTACTTCAAATCCAAGTGTGGCTGAGGACCATACGTTATGAAAAACTGACTCCCATTCATATTTGGGCCATTATTGGCCATGGAAATCAATCCTCTCGCATTGTGTTTCAATTCTTCTTTAAATTCATCTTCAAATTTGCGATTCCATATCGATGTTCCACCTTTGCCAGTGTGCGTAGGATCTCCAGTTTGCACGATGAAACCTTTTATGTTTCTATGAAACAAGCAGTTGTCATAGTAATTGCTAGCACATAGGGCAAGAAAGTTCTGCGAAATACAAAACTTGTCAGAAGCATGGTACAAATGCTTGTACTGCGAAACAAACGTGTAAAAAAAAAAAAATAATTCCTACCTCGCATGTTTTTGGACACAACTCGCAAAACAATTCTATCTTTATGTCCCCAACGTCAGTGTGTAAAGTCACGCTCTGCAAATAAATAAAGAATTACTCGTCATTATTTACGTATGTGATCGACTACAGAACCTACGACGTTAACGAGCAAGAGAAAAAAAATTCGCACCATCTTCAACAGAATCGTCCATTAATTCATGAAAGACGAAACGTGTCATTCGTTATCCCGTGCATCTATTGCGCTTCAATAAAAAAAACGCGAACGCACATGTATACGTAGACGTAAAAAGTCGGCCATATTGAATTTCATAGAACTACCAACGAAATCAAGTGCGCGTATTTATTTCGGAACGGAATCGAACATTTGTCAACACGTCGATTAAAAAATAAACGACAAGATAGTATAAAATAGCGGAAGAATATATACCTGCGAAATAAAAGCGACGCGTTTGAATTATTCGTAAATTATGGGAAATAAATTTTATGAAAAATAGGCAAATATTTGTAATTAGTTTGACTTCGGTTCAAAGCGGTAAGGGATCATCGTAGTAGCAGCGCCACTTATTTCTGCTGAATGTTCCGCTCATTTCTTGTTACAAGTAACGGTTAGGTAAAAAAAGGATATTGGATACCGTGGCATAAGTTTAGCTTGTAAAAAGCTTGTGCTTGAACGTGATTCGAATCGAGGATACAATCGTCGTATTTCGCGTAATAAATTCGGGAGATAGTTGATTGTGAAAATTATCGTAAAAGAGTGACAAGAAAATTCAGACAAGTGGCGCGTCTGTGCAAACGGCTCCTCTTTGGTTGCATGACGTAATTGTATTGATCGCGGAAGAAGAGCCGAAAGTCGCGCATTCGCCATCTTGGACGAATTGTGGAAAAGAAGTTTCTGTGTCTCGCAGGCGCGGTAACGCTTGTAATAATTCTTATCCGTGACAATCCGAACATTAATTAATTTAACTGGGAATTAACCCTTTTGTGAATTAGAAACCCATTTGGAGCGGACCAAGGTGAGTCATTATTTCTACGATTCGCTTCCCCGTCCGAATCTTTTTTTCTACGTGGAAACCTATCTGTGACTTTGTCGTCTGATCACTCGCTTTCAGAAGCTTTTCCCTTTTTCCCCGTTCGACGTCCTCGGCACGGTACATCTCGATCCTACCTAGACTGCTAATTTTCTTTTTCTTTTTTACCAATCTTTCCTCCTGTTCGATTTATGCGTATATTTTGACGTGAATTTTTTTCCTTTCTTTCTTTTTTTGTTTTGTATTCTACTCGTTTTGACATCGCGATTCTAGGGTTGGGTCTTGGTCTTCGCACGCCACTCACGTCCCGCGTCCTTTTAATCATCGTTTCTTTGTTTATTCTGTCTGGTAGTTCAATATCCTGTCTGTCGTTCTTTATTTTCCTTTATTATCAGTGTCTCTCGCGTCTATTTCCCTCCCGTAACAAAGCTTTTCGAAACTCTTTTGTCCGCTTTCTATTCCCTAGAGGTATCGAGCAGCTCGACTTTTCCTTCCACTATCATTTTTTCATCCACTGTTGTTCCTTCATTTCCACCATGACGTGCTCGTTTCGTCTAATATTTTATTTCTCAAATTATCATCAATGCTGAACAAAATTGATATGCGCCAGTTTTCTCTACATAATTTAATAACTATCGTTCGCGATAGCTTTCTTTCTTTCTTTCTTTCTTTCTTTCCATCTTCTCACCCCCTCTCTCTTTCTCTCTCCAGGCCTTCCCTCTCTCTCTCTCTCTCTTTCTCTCTCTCTCTCTATCTATCTATCTTCCTTGTTCATTCATTAGATTAATAACCATTGACTTTTTATATTTTTTCTTTTCTTCATTGTGTGTATGTATTTTTGTTGTATTGTAAACATTAAACAAGAATCAAAACAATTTGATTATATGTAACAATTTCGTTTCAATATATCGAGGAGTGAAAGAAATTAGATTTCAGCTTGTTACTTTGTGTGCAACATGGCTCTGTGAATGTTTATAAGACGTAAGTAACATGTTACAATATTCCACAGGTTCCTTTGGTGGGATGAAAATTTCTTTCAAAAATCTTTCCTTTTTCTTTTCTTATAACAAATCCAAGGTCATCTTGATTTCTTTAAAAGTGAAATCGTGTAATTCTTTCCCGTTGTATTGCAGGAATAAGGACTGAGATGCTTTTAACAAAGAAGAAATATGATATATTTGTTTGTACAGTATCAAATTTATAGCAGCAAAAGCATATTAATATTTGTGTTTGTTTCAACAGTTTATGCAAGATGTTCAAAAATAATCATTATATTATGAATATTCACATTGTTGCACAATATGGTAATTATTTGTACATGTTATCATAAAAAAATATTTCTGTCTCGTTGCTTCGTTAAAGAAACAACTGATGTAGCTGTTTTGCTCATTGAAGCATTAATAACATGTACAATTTCTTGTTACATTATTGCAAATAACTGATCATATGAACATATTGTATAGATAACATTAAGAATAACTGTTTGAAACTATTTGAAATATTTTGTATATAATTGTAATATAAACTGTATAAAAACATTTATGCATATATGTATTTTTACGCCATTGAATTATATATATATATATATATACAATTTTGTTTTTATAATAAAAAACTATACGTGAATATTATTTATGATTTCAGACAAAGGGTTCGTTCTTTGGGTCTGATTGGTACTAAATGGTTGCCTGCAGACAGCATGTCTACTCTGTCAGGGCTTGTGTCGAAGGGGGAGAAAGGAAAATCCAAGTTTCAATCGTTAGACATCAATAGCTTGTACCGGGTGAGTAGGGTGAGTTGGCCAAACAGTTTTGTTTATTCCCCCTTTCCCTTATTTTTTATTTATTTGTCTATTTTTATTTTCCTGTTTCCTCTTTCTCCTGCCACGCAACATTTCTTCAAACGTATTTGCCTTCTCTATTCGTACAATTTATATTTGATTATAAAAATTTTCATAAAAAATTTAGACTATTGACAATTGAGATGATTGCTTAAAGAAAAGATATCCGGGATTGGTATCCGATCTATGCTTACAGGGAGAATCTTTAGAACAACATCAACAGAAGAACACATTGCCACGCAAACATGGAATGCAAAGTCTTGGGAAAGTGCCTTCGGCACGGCGACCTCCTGCTAATCTGCCTAGTTTAAAAAGTGAACACAGCAGTAACGATCCAGCTGTTAGTCTCGTACCAAGCGGAGGAAGTGGTTGGGCCACTACCAAAGAGTCAACGACTACCACTACTGCTACAACCACTACGACTGTAACTGCATCAGATATATCTACTGTAAATTTCGTAAAAGTACACGTTTATTCTGTAAATTTTTGATTTCTAGCAATATATAATTTCCCACGCTTGACGTTTATTCGAAGAAACATCATTATAATACCAGTATATAATACCATATAATACCAGTATTATTATTATTATATTTTTTCACAAACTTTTATCATCGAAGATCATACATCTATCTTAGGATTCTTATCTATCAGATCACATATTTTTTCGTTATTGTTGTAACGTTTTCACGATTATATCGTTATTTTGTATTTTCTGTTCTAAAACTGCTGTCTTAAATATTACTACTTTTTGTACGTTTACATTGACAAAAATGTGCTCTTTATACGTAATGGTTTGAGGTGATTGTAGAAATTTTGTATTTGTATGTTTATTATTATTATTGTTGCCATTGTTATTGTTGTTGCTATTATTATTATTTTACACGTATGTTATATACAGGACTTCATATGCTTGTTTTCAACATAATTATTATTACAGAAGTAATTGATGTGATTAATTATTTTCTTCAAATTTCCAGGCAAATTCTTCAACAGTACAATGTGTGACAGGAACTATCACGACATCATTACATCCATTACACCCAGGACAACAAAATACTTCACAATCTTCATATTCTTCCGATGTAAACAACAAATCGTCATGGAGTGCAATAATGAGCAGATCTGGAGATGGTATGTGAAGCTATGAAAAGAAGTACATATACGTAATATAAGATATTCGTATAACTGTGTTTCTTTTCGAGTTCATGACATACAGTGTTATTTATATTATTACTATTTATATTTATATTTCCACAGTAGATTAATGATATTTATTTACCAATATATAAAATAAGTATTTTTTTTTCTTTTCTCTCACTTATAAATTTGTTAATTATTAATTTGCGTATATTATTACCTGCCACGCTTATTCTATGTCACACACGAAACGTTATAGTATATCTTTCATATTTGCATTTGTGTCATAAATCTGTGTAGCAATTAATACAATATCGTATTAATGATTGTTGTTGAAATATAGGTGCCGTATCAGGAAGCCAACAACAATTACAACAACAACAACAGCAGCAGCAGCAACAGCAACAGCAGCAGCAACAACAGCAGCAACAGCAAACCGCAAATCGGGAATTAAGCGCGCAGTACGGACCTGGACCAAGTTTACGGCCCCAAAGTACCAAAAGTTCAATTATTATTTATTAGAACCACGAAATATGTCAAATTCCTTTTTAACCAAATAAAACCAAATGATTTGTCATTCATCAGCGGAAGGAAGTTGGATACAAGGTGGAAGTCGTACAGCCAGTGGTGCAGGAATCGCAACTACTGGTCCTGGAAGTGGGAATTCAGGGGTCCAGGCCCCCCCTTTAAACATCAGTGGATCAGGAGGACATACCGACATATCTGCCGGAGGGCGACAGAACTTGGTCCAGTCTCCCAACATGGGCATGGGCCAGGGAGGCCCTCATAATTCCTCGAATAGTCAGAATGCTCTGAGTTCTAATTCTCATCAAGTTGGTCCAAATCTACATCACTACAGAGGACTTATTCCTCCATTTGTAAGTTTTGTTATTTAAGCGTGTTGCCGTTCTACGCGTTGATTAATTATCGATAGAAATTCAATTATCAATTCAACTCAGTCTCTCGATTACATTCAGATGTACAGAGGAAATTTTTCTGGCGGATTCCCTCCTCAATTTCCGGCGAACGCTAGTTCCGGTGGGCCCAGACCCCGGTTCAATTATCCCTCGGAACGATTCCCTCCTCCGCTTGTTCGCCAACAAGAACGCGAACGCGTTTCCGAAGAAGAGATCATTACAAGGCCAATCATCAAGGAGGAAGATCTCACGCGAATGGACGATATTTCTCGCGATGCGGGCTGGGCAGCGCACGACGATATCGATTACAATCAAAAGCTTGCCTTCAGCGACGACGAGCCGGACCCTGAACCCTCGAAGAAAGATGAAAAGAAAGACAATAAGGAAGAGAAAGTAGAAGAGAATTCGATAGATGAGAAGGAGAAAACCGCGAGAGAGAACAGCCGCGACAACCGCGACATCCACGATAATCGTGATTCGAAGGAATCCCGTGATCAAGCAATTCATCGTTCATGGACTCAGAATTCTTTATCCCGTGATTATCGTGGCTCGAATGGGTCCGGTAGTTATAGCGGTCAGTCGCAACTGCATTCGGTGCATTCATTGAGAGGTCAGAACACACACGCACACACGCACGCACACATATACGTTTACGTGGCTCTTAGACAGAAATTTAAAAATAAAAAAGTTGAATTTATATTTTCGTTCGTATTTCGTTAGTATAGTTCTTTCTTGTCGTGTTGTCGTACAGCCATTACGCGTAAAAGAAGTTTGTAACTTTTGCTCATGACATTGATCTTCATGTTGTTGACGTTGAAAACAGGTGTGGAAGACGACGAGGCGTGGAACGAGAGACGCAGACTGAAAGTCGTGGAGGTAGCGTCTGCGGTTGAGCGCGCCCGCCAACGGAAGGAGGAGGAGGAGAAACGATACCAGGAGTCGACGAGGCAAGCGGCAGCTAAAAAGTTGCAAGACTTGGAGCAGAAGTTGAAGGAGAAGCAGGCTAACGAATCGAAAGGACTGATAAGCGTGCCGCCGGTGGCGATCCCGGTTCCCGAGTGGGAGCGAGAGAGGGAGAACAGGGAGCGTGAGAACAGAGAACGGGAACGATCCGAAGGGAAGGACGAGAAGCCTTCGCTGAACCGCGAATTGCGTGAAAACAGGGACGGTCTGAAAGATGGCAGAGACTCGCGCGACCAGTTGAGCATGTCAGACTTTCGGCAAGCGGACCGACAAAGTTTCACGAGGCAGGACAGCATTCGTAGCGAGCGTGAAAGAGAGCGAGACCGTGATCGTGATCAAAGGGACACGAGGGATCGCGAACTGCACGCTTCGTTCTCGCGATATTACAAAACTAACTTGCCGCCCCGATTTCAAAAGCAACAAGCGGAAAAGATCAATGCCGGTCTTAACCGAGTTTCTCCCAATACCGAAAGATCGGCCCCGCAATCCGTTCCATTCTCTCAGCAATACGATCCTGGCAGATGGGTTCACGGCCACAGCTCTTTAAGTAAGTGT